CAGAAAGAACAGCAGATACAGAAGGTGTAGATGATTCTGCCGGTTCTGATTGGGTGGAAATTGTGCCAGGGGGGATATGTGAATCCATACTTGTCATAGGATAGTATTCACTGGAACTCGTTGTAGAAGTGGGTTTCACGGTGGAAGGATCTATGGCTGCATTCAGAGTTGTCGAGATCAATGGAGAAATAGTTGACGGGATTGCACTAAGTCCATCAGAGGCAAAAGCAGATTCAGAAAGTGCAAATGTTTCTGCTTGTTCTGGCTGAGTGATGGTTTTCGTGGTGGGCATGCTTGCATCCAACTTTGTGGCAGGATCATAAGCATTGGTGTGCTCAGTTAAAGGCTTTTCCGGGTAGTCAAGAGACGAAACAAGTGAAGCAGATAAGGTGGATGAAGTTGTGCTGGAAATACTGTGCTGAAAGACACTAGCCGATTCAGGAGATGTAAATGTTTCTAAAACTGCTGGCTGAGAGAGCATTAAGGTTACGTCAAAGTGTGAGTCCAAGTTTGCCGTCGAACTTGTCGATGTCTCGAAGTTTGCTGGTGTGCCGAGCGGATCCGACACACCAACTGGCGCCGAAGAAGGTGTTTCCGTCGGTTCCAGTTGAGTGATCGTTGTTGTAATGGGTATGTTGGAGTGTAAAAGTGTTGCAGTCTCGTCTTCTCTCTGGCCCCCATCGGCAGTGGACTCAACTTCAGGAGAATTTCCCAACAAATCGAGTGAGTTTCCATTCACCTCGGGCATCGTCGTCGGTGTTACTGTGGAAAGATCATCAGCCGCAGTCGATGAGGCAATTTGCTGTGCTAAAGAGGCATCGAGAGCCTGGATAATCTCAATGGGATCCACGTCTAAACGAGGCCTTAGAACGCCGCCGGAGCTCAGTCTTCTCGACATCTGGTCGGTTTCTCCGTTCCCAGTCAAGGCGTAACTCGGCAGAAGGGTGGTTGCTTCATCTGTTGCCACGATGACCTCTGGATTTGAGGTCAGAGTCGGGCTCATTCGAAGGTCCGCGTTTCCCGGCAGACCGGTTGCCGAGCCTGTTTCTGCTTCATTTTCCGGCAAATCCGTCATCACCGGCCCAACCATGCTGTAGGGCATCTCCTGAGGAGCGAGTTGATTGGCTCGTTCTGCAGCATCTAACCTCAACGTCCTTCCTTTGGCATGTGTCGGCGGGCCATAAATCGGATCATCTTCTTCTGCTGCTTTCCACATGTTCTCGATGCCAGGCCCTTCTGGCGGCATGGCAGGAGCCAATGAAAGAGCGACCTCAGGTTGCTCGGCAACACGAATTAGCGGCGTGACCATCGCGATGTTGGTTTCGTAGTCGGCCACGAGCGTTTCTCCGCAGAGTCTGCGAGTGGAGAAGAGCAGAAGGAGGAGGATCTGTGTGATCTGACGAGCGTCAAGCCGGCCGAATCGACAGCGTCCCATCTCTGTTAACAGAAGGTTGCCTCGAGGATGGCAGAGCCTGTATGCAGCATCAGCTCAGCAGCGATTTGCAGAGAGCACAGTTGTGGTCACCTCGTTGGGTCGCCTATTTAGCCTCAGTTGAAAGCCTAAAGGACACCGGTTCCATGCAGAGCACACGCCAAAGTCATCGGAACACAAGAACAACTGGGCCTATGGCGACGATAACACAACTCGCTCGTGTGTCTCCATGCCTTTCCGTGCCTCTCTTTGTCCTATCAGAAGTATTGCTCAAGGGTGCAGATGCCGACGAGACTATGCATATATGTATGTATGTATGTATTTATGTATGTATGCATGTATGCATGTATGTGTGTGTGTTTGTATCTTCTGATCCTTCCCGAGGTCAGCAATCCTGATGGGGCTGCCGGGGACCCTGTCCCCAACAAGCGGGCAAGTCAGAAGCTGCAAAATCTTCGTTTTTGGAGATGAAGTTGGCAGGTTTGTGCATGTGTGTGTGTGTGTTTGTATTAAAGCGAGTATGAGGACAAGAGTGGTATTTCTCCCTCGACAGAGGTACAGTGAAATAAGTCTGTCCATGCTAGAAATATAGCGTATAAACGCCTGCATTTGCATAAATTGCCAGAAGAAAGGATATCTTGCTTTCTAACGCTTGGTATGCAAATAAAAGAAGATTGAATGCTTATGAACGCAGTCCTAATATCGAACAATGTATTAATATTCCACCTTGATATGGAGATCTCCTCACATGCCTGTGGGCCAGCATCACACGATGAACGAGATGGAGCCTAGTCACCAAAACCCACTCTGCCCGTCTTCTTCAGCCGGACGGCCAGGTGTGAGGAAAGAGATATTCATTTTTGATGAGAGTTATCTTCGAGAATGTCCGCAATTCCTGAATAAGAAGTTAGTCACCCTAATTAGTTTACGATGAATGAATACTAGCAGTGCTGTTTTTGCCATTATCATATAAGTAGGCCCCACGATACCTATGAATCACAGTCAACCTTGCCTCTTAAAAGTTCTTCTCAGCTGTTGAATCGCCTTAATCGACCTAGGCCGACTAAGTTGTCGTACAAGAAATGAAGAAATATTGTTGCTCCCTACTTCAAGGGCTCATAATTTGGTCCACTCTGTAATGTTTTAGCCACAAGGTGAAGGTAGGACTTGCGTTTGCAGCCATAAGCATGACTCCTTTTTTTCATGATTTCTTGCAGATTTCGTAGACTCAATGACGCTTTTTGAGAGTGTCGTTTAATAGCTTTTGAGCCGAGCCAGCGCTTGGTCTAAGGCACTATTCTCAAAGAACTGGGGCCTAGTAGCGACCCATCATAGCACATATCCCATGCGTTTACCTGCTTTTTGTACTCTATTATTGGTCTTTCAACACGCATAATCAGTCCGAGTCGAGACTATCGCCCTTCTACAAGTTTCAGACTCCTAATGCTGGCGAAAGACGAGGCCCAGACCATGTATAGGCACACAATTCCGATTTAAGAATTACTGAACGACATGGAAGTCACTCATATCGAAATTAATTAGCATCTTCGATTGCAATAACAAGCACATGTTTGCTTCTGCCGATAGTACCAATAGTAAGAATGTCTATTGCGAGATGCCTGGCTTGCATTGTTTGTACCATCGGGCCTATCGCCCCGCTACTCACGACCCGGCCTTGAATCTCATTGACCTGTGGATGAGAGGGAAAGTAAAATTAAGTGAAATCCAACTACTTTGTGAGGCTTGGTTATGTGCTTGCGCGAAAAAACTCAATTACCAGTCCTGAAATCACCTCAAACGACCCAAGCTGGCTCAATTCATAGTACAGCGCTACCAATAGTCTCGACAGTACTGATATCAAAACCAAGCCAACACAGACACTCAGATCACTTGGTTAACGTTAAAATGCATGAAAGTTGTTTGACCTTGCTTTCGCAACTTGCTCATATTAGCAGGAAGACCTAAATGAACGCACTTTGTCCGAAGTCCAGAGTGTGCATGATCATTTCCAGAATCGGACTGTCGACTTGGTACATTCCCAGACGTTTTTCCGACATCGTAGTCGGCATCCCCAAAAGACCACATCTCTTGTGGAATATAGACATGTCATAAGTTGTAATAGGACGAGGGTGAGACTAGAGGGGAGGAAATGGATAGAGTGACCAGGACAGAATGAGGAGGGATAACATAACCGTCTCGACAGAAAGTTGATCAAGGGATTGACTTCTCTTGTCTCTTTGACGAGTTGCAGCTTGGTTGCTGAGAATTGCAAGACTGATTAATGATGCCGACTACGATGCCGGCAAAACGTCTGAGAATGTACCATGTCCACTTTCCGACTCTCGAAATGACCATGCATATGATGGACTCCGGACAAGGTACGTTCCCTTAGGTCTTTCTGCCAATATGATCAATTTCGAAACCAAGGTCAAACAACTTATATACAACGAAAGGAGACTGCGACCATACAATAGGCCACACCATTCTGGTCTTCATACCTTCGGTTAGAATACATGTTTTAGTAACTGTCATCCCCTTTAAAAAGATGACTATAAATTGGCCTTAATCCAAATGTGGAAGCACTTTCTTTGTTCGTCCCCTAAGCTAAATTTTATACTTTTAAAGTTTAACTTTGTTATTGTTAAGATCACTTCCAGTTCGATTGAAACGTCGTTTTCTTGACTGAATATGGTTGTAAGGATGATATCCTGCTCCGATGATAACCGGAATCGAAAGAGATTGCCTCGGATACAGCATCAGCATGAAGGTTCCAGTAAGGCCAATCGAGATCTGGTAAAGAGCAATCCGCCGTCATCTTCTGGTGGGATCGACCCTCAAATCTCTATACGAAACACTTTCACTCGAAATGAAAATAGAATAAAAAATTATGAACTAAGAAACTCCTCTTAACCTAACTTTTATTCGTATAGCTTTCTAATAGATAACTTTCCTATCCTCATATAGAGCCAC